ATAACCTCCCTTGGATCCTGGTGCAGTGGATCTCTGAGTTTGAGGCCAGCCTGGTCTACAGAGCAAGTTCCAGAACAGCCAGGGCTACATATGGAAACCATGTCCCCCAAAACAAAAACAAAACTCCCTTGGGGGACCAGGACTATAAACAGGGACTCAGTTGTGGGTTTTTCTTGGGGGGGGTTGAGGGGGTTGGGGTTTTTTTTGTTTTTGTTTTTTTTTTCTTTTTTTAGAGACAGGGTTGCTCTGTGTAGCTCTGGCTGTCCCAGGACTCACTGTGAACTAGGCTGACCTGGAACTCACAGAGATCCTCCTGTCTCTGCCTCCCAAGTGCTGGGATTAAAGGCGTGCGCCACCAATGCCCATCTTGGTGTTTTTTTGAGATAGGGTCTCACTATGTAACTTAGCTGGCCTGGAACTCACTATGTAGAGCAAACTCACAGAGATCTGCCAACTTCTCCGTCCCCAGTGCCAGTTTGATTAAAGGAGCCGCCACCATGCCCAGAAAGACTTCAGTTTTTAGGTGGGACTTGTGACATCAGACTCACCCTTGTGTCCTTAACTGGTAAGAGGGAAGACGCTCAGAGGCGGGAGCGTGATATTTCTCACCTGTTGTCATTCATCTGTGTATACCGAGGCTGAGGGTCAGGGTCCTGGTCATTGACATCAAAACTGGCTCCAGGATCCTGTAAGGACAGGGCCATCATCAGAAGCTGCTTCACCACACTGCCCACCGAGGGATCACCACCATTCTCCTCCATTCCTCACATAATTGCCTGCCAAGTCGGGATGGTTCTTCTCAATGCCGTCGTCCAGGATGGAGACCACAATGCCGTGACCTGTGAAGCCCTGGGCCCAGGCTTCCTTCACATTCAGGTCTCGCTGAGTGACACCAGACTGCAGAGACAACCAGCCCATAACCAGAGATATTTGGTCGCTAACTCAGAGAACCCATTCCACCCAAACCCTCTATCACCACCCATTGCCACTCCTTGTTTCCACTGGAAATGCATAGCTTCTGGGAAGGCAGGATGGGCTAGAACAGTGGTTCTCAAGCTGTGGGTTGTGAACACCCTCCCCAGCCCCTCCACCCCGGCAACCCTCTTATCTCCAGAAATATTTACATTCATAACAATAGCGAAATTACAGTTATGAAATAGCAATGAAAATATTGTTATGGTTGGGGGTCAGCACAACACGAGGAACTGTATTAAATAAAGAGCTACAGCATTAGGAAGGTTGAGAACCAATGAGTTAGTAAGCCTCATCCACTCACAGCACCTCACAGTGGTGGGGAAGAAGACCAGAACCCAAGGAGGCAGCATACCAGGTACCACTGCTGGGGAAACTTGGGGTCTGTGGGCTCCTGATACACGTCCCGCTTGGTCCTCCGTTTTGCTACCTGCTGCTCCAGCCACTTTACCTAGGGATGATATAGATGATATAGGTGTGTGTGGGGGAGGGAGGGGGGCTCAGAACAGAAGCAGTGGCAGCTGGAAGGGCCAGGGCCACACTTACTTGAGGCTCCCTCTGTAGCCGGATGTGTCGCTGGCGGTGAGGTGACAAGGACCGCTTTGTCACTGCTCTATGCCTGAAGTGGTAATAGTCACCAAAGATCTGCAATAAAGCAATGAGACCGAGATGGGCCTTCCATCTGCCAGTCCCTGGGGGAGGCAGAGAAGGGGGTGGACAAGGCTGCTGGGGAGGCTCACAAAGACAAGTGGTGATGGGGCATCTGTTCCCTGCTTAAGACCCACGAGAACATGCAGAGACGTTGTCACATAGCTGTTGATAAGGATGATTTAAATTCAGTGAACACCCACCTCTGGCTTGACAGCACTCACAGCCACAACTGAGAGGTCTGTTGTTGTTAGACCTGTGGTAAGACAGAAACTTGGAGGAAAGCTGTTCACCTCATGACAGTCAGGAAACAGAGAAAGAGGCTTAAGACCAGAGATATCCCCTAAGAACACACCCCAGTGGCTATTTCCTCCAACTTGTACCCCTGCCCCTGCTAGTAATGCCAACAAATTCTGACTCCATCTCTGGATTGATCCATTGACTCAGGTGGAGCCATTAGGATCCAATCATGTCTCAATGATAGATGCAGACATCAAGGACCAAGCCTTTAACACAAGAGCCTGGGTCAGAGTGGTGGTGGTAGTGGTGGTAATGGGATTTGGGGGAAGGGACCCACAACAATTGGATTCTTTCTGAGAGGCCAACCTCAAGACAAATAAGGGAAGTTCAGAGAGAGAAACAGAGGACAGACACAGGGCAAGACTCTCCTTCAGTCCACAGCACTTAGCAAGCCACCACCTGACATGCTTTGTGGTATCCCTCTTCTCTACACTGTGCACACATATTGGAGCTGTAATCATTGCATTTGCTGTGTCAATTCTCATAAAAGTTCTGGTTTGCAGCTAGAGCGTATCTTGCCAGTAGAACATGTGCTTAGTGCACACATGGGGAATCAGACTTTCTTCGGACCACCAACTCCCAACAGAGACTTAAGTATGAAAGCCTGGCCTTAGTTTAGGTTTGTTCCTAAGTAGCTCTTATAACTTAAATTAATCCATTTATATTAATCCACATCCTGTCACTCCTTACCTCTCCTCAGTGCTGTGCATCCCACTTGCTCCACATCTCACTGGTGAATCCTGCCTCTCTTCTTCCTGGAGTCCCTATTTCCGCCTGGAAGTCCTACCTGTCCTCTCCTGCCTAGCTGTTGGCCGTTCAGCTCTTTATTAAACAATCAGAGGTGCCTTGGCAGAGACACAATCTTCACAATGTACAGAAACATTATCCCATAACACACAAGGCCTTGGGTTCGTTTCCCAGTGCCACTCCTGTGCCCATACACAAAACACTAAATAGGGTGCTGTGTGCAGAGATTTCAAATAACTACATTTGGGTTTTTGTTTGTGTTTGTTGAGACAGGGCCTCATTATATAACCTTAGCAGGCCATCTACCTGCCTCAGCCTCCTGAGTGCTAGGACATGTGCCACCATGCCTGGCCTATAATTATTTTGTAACCTGCTACACTTTATCCATATAGCCTAAGACACCTGCCTTTTCTTGCTAGCCTTTTTTTTTTTGGGGGGGGGGTGTTCAAGACAGGGCTTCTCTGTGGCTTTGGAGGCTGCCCTGGAACTAGCTCTTATAGACCAGGCTGGTCTGGAACCCACAGAAATGGGTCTGCCTCTGCCTACAGAGTTCTGGGATTAAAGGCGTGCACCCTCACTGCCCAGCTCCTGATAGCCTTAATGAAAGCAGGAAAACCGGAAGAGGACACTGCCCCCCCCCATGGATTTTATTTGGAATGTGAGGTAAAGGGAGGTCATGTGACACTTGGGCAAGGGGAGAGGTTAAAAAAAGCTGTGTGAGGCCTGGAATGATAGCTCAGTGGTTAGGAACACTGGCTGTACCTAGTGAGTGGTAGTGGCGCACGCCTTTAATCCCAGTACTCAGGAGGCAGAGGCAGGTGGATCTCAGTGAGTTCAAGGCCAGCCTGGTCTACAAAGTGAGTTCCAGGACAGCCAGGACTATTACACAGAGAAACCCTATCTTGAAAAACAAAAACAAACAAAAAAGAGCATTGACTGCTCTTTCAGGGGACTCAGTTTCAATTCCCAGTACCCATATAGCAGCTCACATCCATCTATGACCCTGTTTCTACAGTATCCAATGCTTTTTTCTGGTCCCACAGGGACCAGAAATACACTCCTACACATAAAATACAAAAGAAAGAAAACAGCTCTTTATCACAGAAAGTGATAAAGAAATGGCCAGAGACAAAGAAGAGGACAGCCTGGTGCTGTCGAAGGTCTGGCGGAGGCTGGGGGGCCTGCATTTGCAGTGGACATCACAGAACCCACGCAGTATTTCCCAAGCAGTGATAATAGTGGCATGGGAGGCGAGGGAGCTGAGTGAGGCTCTCAGGGGTTGTGGGGAGAGTGAATCTCAGTTGAGTTGGGGGGCGGGGAGAAAATGATTAATGTAGCCAGGAAATCTGTTGCTTAAACCATATTTCTGATAAATATCCAAATTTGAGAATTGTTGGAATATATTACCAGAAAAAGGAGTTTACCCCATGGAAAAAAATAAAGCTGACTAACACATGGAAAATGGGCTTCATATAGAATTAAAACGTAAATGTGTTCAGAAAACTATGATGTTTGTTGATAATAGTATACAATTTTGCAGCCTCTGGACAGAGATGAGCTTCTTGTGTTAATTCTGTTTTTGGTTTTGTTTTTTGACACAGAGTCCCGAATTATAGTCCAGGAAGTTTCCACTATCTGCTATTAATGACAACAAATTCTGTGGGTTTAAACATACTATGTAACCCAATATAGCCTCAAGCTCACATCCATCCTATTTCTTCAGCCTTCCAAGTGCTAGGATTATGACAGGGATGGATTTCTTAAACACATTTCAAAGCAGAAAACTGTAAAGCAAAAACAAAGCCACATAAACCAGTTTGATTCCTCAGGACTGAAGATCTCTGTTTAAGCTTACGTATTTGGGAGATCGAAGTCTAGCTAGGTGCTGCTGTGGGAAGTTATGAAACTTTGGGACATGGGGCCCAAGTGGCAGACATGGGCCACTGTGGATGGGCCTTTGAGGGCTTAACCTGGCTTCTAAAGTTGTACAGGCTATAGCCACTGTTCTTGGCCGCCCACCAGAACTTGATGGCAATGGCCTGTTGTGAAGACCTCACACACTTTGGTCATAGGATTTAGAAAAATCCAGCTGGTACTGACTGGAAGCTTCTTCCTCCTGGATGGCTAGGTTTCATAGTACCAGAAGGTGGTATGAAGGCTGCCTGGGTGGGAGGGAATGTTGGGGGGAGGGGGAGTTACCAACAGTATTACCCAGCTGTGAACCCTTTCAAACTACAAAAATGTTTTGGGGTAACCAGCTGCTTTCTCATTGAATTGAAGAGCCACTTCATAAGAACAGGACCAAAGACTTGGAAGGTCCTATTACTTTATCATCTTGTCAGTCATATTCCAAGCTGCCTCAGACACCATGCCTTCCCTGACACAATGAATCAGTATCTCCCTAGAATGTGAGCCCAAACAAACCCTTCCTCCATTTATTTGTTTCTGTCAGGTATGCTGCTGCAACAATGGGAAGGGCAATGAATATAGCTTACTCCCTTGTTTCCAAAGGGCTTGGAGGGCTTAAAGTACATATGTCACACACTGAAGATGGAGAATACAGACTAAAGATGTGACCCAAGACACATTAAGTAGCTACCAGTTCCTCCCCTGGGGTGGTCCCGTTTGGGATTATAGGCATTTGCCACCACCAAACCTGGTTTTTTAGGGAGTTTTGATATTGTTTTTGAGACATGGTCTCATTCTGTGGCTCAAGAACTATGTCATTCAGGTGGTCTCAAATTTGTGGCAATCCTACTGCCTCTGCTTCTTAAATGCTGGGATTATAAGCAGGAGCCACCATACTCGGTGAATTTATCTATTTATTGAACTTTTGTGAGATGCAAGGGTCCTATCAGAGCTTCATGAATGCTGAGGAAGCGTTCTATTACTGTTGCTCCCTGATTTTTATTGAATTAGTTTTTTCTGAGTGTAAAAGCTTATTTACGCTGAGCATTGGTGGCGCACACCTTTAATCCCAGCACTCGGGAGGCAGAGACAGGCGGATCTCTGTGAGTTCGAGGCCAGCCTTGTCTATGGAGCGAGTGCCAGGATAGGCTCCAAAGCTACAAAGAGAAACCCTGTCTCGAAAAACCAAAAGAAAAAAGAAAAGAAAATGATGTTGGTTCAATTCTGTCAGACTGTAGATCCTACCATCACATTTTCACCTTTTTGTTTTATTATTTTTATTTTTGTTTTCTTACTTGTTTCAAAGGGGCTTGGAAGGCTTAACAGAATGTGTGTCATACACTGATGATGAAAAATCAGACCACACAGGCAGACTGTGACCCCATAAAACTCAGTAGCCACCAATGCTTCCTTGCTTCAGTTTGCACATTGTTAGACATATTCTGGTTTTGGGAGACCTGGTTGAGGCTGGCACAGTAGCAGCTCTTAACCCAGATTGATCCTCTTGACAGCTAGATGGGTGTTGCCATGTCCCCTCTGCCATTCTCCAGCTCATCCACAACTCATCCTCAGTGACAGGCACCTGACACCCCAGCTAGTAAACACATCATGAGACAGGGTCCTTGCTTCTGCAAAGTAACATTATTATCATGGTGACAGCTAACTGTTGGAACCCTCTGCCTTCCTGCAGCAGACTGTGGGGTACATCCCTGTTGCAGAATAGAGAGTATCTGTTTAACAATGTAAAGATGTGTTGCTTTTGTTTATGCTGCATTTGTTTAATTATGTAAAGGTGTGTTGCTGTTTCACCTTGCCTGCCTAAGGTACTTGAATGGTCTAATAAAAAGCTGAACAGCCAATAGCTGAGGAGGGATAGGAGGGACTGGCAGGCAGAGAGAAAAGGGGGCCATTGGCCATTGCGGGGGGCAGACATCTGGGAGCCCCACAGATACAGAGGAAGCAGGAAAGTATGGACAGTATGTAGATGAGGTAAATGAGCCTTGGAGCAGCACACTGATTAATAGAAATGGGTTACTTTAGGTTAGGAAAAAAAAAAGCTAGCTAGAAACAAGCCTAAGCTAAGGCCAAGTATT